GGTTGGGGGCGTCGAGCCGCCCGGCCAGCCGCCTTTGGCCGTCTTTCCCCGGAAAACGAAGCAGCCGGTGCCGGTGGAGGTGGTGAAGGTAGAAGTGGAGCCGGTGTCGCAGGCGGCGGTCGTGACGGCCGCGGCCTCGACGGCGGTCGGTGACTTGTTCGCCGGCAGAAAGAGGAGGGGGCCGGTGGAGTTCACCATCCGCGGGCCTGGTAAGGTACGGAGCTAGCTGTCGTACAGATGATTCGTGGGGATGCGGCCGTGGTGGCGGTGGCTGAGACCGGATGAATGGCGGGGCAGCGAGCTCATGTCCGCCATCGGACAAACCATGCGCGCGGCCATCGCGACCCAGAGGGCAGTCAGTCGTAGTTGACTGCGTGGAGCCGCCTCGGTCATACGAACCGTGGCAGCACGGGATGTTCCGTGTTGCCGCGGCTCGTACGACGGAGAACAGCAAGGGTAAGAACTGTGACGGCGACGAGGCCGAGGCCGGCGCCATGGAGAACGGGGTGTCGTTCCACGAAATGTGGTACAAACCACGGCCTGCGAACCATGCGCGCGGCCGTCGCGACTGGGACAGTCGTAGTTGACTGCGTGGAGCCGCCTCGGTCATACGAACCGTGGCAGCACGGAGTGTTCCGTGTTGCCGCGGCTCGTACGACGAAGAACAGCAAGGGTAAGAACTGTGACGGCGACGAGGCCGAGGCCGGCGCCATGGAGAACGGGGTGTCGTTCCACGAAAGGTGGTACAAACCATGGCCTGCGAACCATGCGCGCGGCCGTCGCGACTGGGACAGTCGTAGTTGACTGCGTGGAGCCGCCTCCGTCATACGAACCGTGGCAGCACGGAATGTTCCGTGTTGCCACGGCTCGTACGACGAAGAACAGCAAGGGCAAGAACTGTAACGGCGGCGAGGCCGAGGCCGAGGTGTCGACGGGGTGTCGGCCTCGGCGTTGTCGCCGTCGCAGTTCTTGCCCTTGCTTTTTCCATCGCACGGGCCTTGGCAACACGTTTCCACGAAAGGTGGTACAAACCATGTCCTGGGGCAGCAATGGACGTGCCGTCTTGTGAAGGAGCGGAGCGAGCGGCGTCTTGATGTTTTTTCGGAGTACTGTGGGATGGGCTCCACTTGTTCAAGTAAGTGCGCTTGGGGTGGGTTGGGCCACTGCTGCGCCACGGTTGGCCGCATTCGAATTCGTGTGCTCTGTTAACGTTCCAACGTGCGTGGTGGTTCCGGTCCGGCACGCGCACAACCCACGTGTTGCGGGAGACAGGGGAAGGGAAGGGGAGGGAAGGGAAACACCGTTTTTTTCTTTTTGTCGAGCAGTAACAAGAGACCTTGAAAACGGACGTACTTGTTTGCTACGGTTTATCTGTCCAGTACCGTGGAAGGTTACAGGGTTGGGGCGTGAGGTGGTGCTGGAAGTGGGCAGTGGGTCGGGATCGGGATTGGGGTTGGGGTTGGTCTCCTTTGGTTGGGAAAAGGGGAGTACTGTAGTAGTTTTTTTGTTGGGAGTCGCGTGCGGAGCAAGATATGAAAGGTTGCGGTGATTTTTCGGTGGCCTTGGTCCGTTTGTGCTGATGGCGTCGGATGTATGTGTAGTGCTGTTGGGGTGGATAGGACGTGGGACTAAAGTTAGCCGGTTTTAACCGGGGTGTTGGGAGCGTTGTTGTAGCGTTGTTGGGACTTTCGGCTTCCTTCGTTGATCGCGACCTCGCTCGGTACAGAGGTGCCGCGGCTGGCCTCCTCACAATGTTGAGGCGCTATCTGTTAGTCGAGGGTGGGGATTGCGGCTATTTGTTGGCGTTGAGTCGAGGTGGAGCCGGTTTGGATACGTAGGTTGTGGCTAGTTTTGGTTGGGTTGGAATCCGTGTTATGTTTTGGTACTGTGCAGTGGTGCGGCGGCCGTTGGGCCCCGTTTGTTGATGAAGGGTTGATGTTCGGAGTCGCCGTGCAGATATGCAAGTAAGTATTGTTGGGTGGTTTTGCGGCGACCTTGGTCGCGTCCGTGTTGACGATGTCGGGGTGCAGTTAGCGCCAGCATTAAGAACTTGCTTGGCGATTGAAAAAATTGAACCTAAAAAATATCAATATCTATGTAGCGGCCATTCGTACCATGACCCTAGGAACTAAGAACCTCAATCTCGGCCAAAACTAGAGGTTCTTCCGTGCGGGCGCTATCTGTAGGTAGTCGTTGGTCTGGTGTTGTTGTGGCTTGTTTTCTTTAAGAACAACATACAAATTGGAATGGAGGCGGCGCGTTTTGTGTATATCGTTCGAGACTCCCTGGTGCAGTTATTAGTTATGCATACAAGCACTCACAATAAGCGCAGAAGACGCTGCACGTACTAATAACTCGTCTTGATTTGCTCCAGTAACAACCGTACGAGACGAAGTGCCACTGCCTTTTTGTTCGGTGGGTGGTGAACAACGCCTGCCTGTGTGTGGATCGATAAGTGAACGTTGAGGTTATCTATCGTATTTTTAGCCCTCTTGTTTTATTGTTTCGATACGTATGAGGCTGTTGCTGTTGGAACAAGAGCATTGCGTTACGTGTTGCAGAAAAAAACTCTCAACCCATCGTGATGCACCGAGGACCGATGTGTTACTATATTTTTTCCTATTTCTTTCGTTTTGAGAATATGTCTTTCGGCACTTACAAGCGGCTGTCGCTGCCGTGATGGCGCAGCCACAGGGCCGGGGGACGGGTACCTTTCACAGTAGCGAACAATTGCATCTCCTTCGTGCTTCGAAGATGAGTTTCGGCGGGAGAGTCCTCCCGCGGAAGCTTAGGGACCTGTTGCTTCCGTTCTGACGTATGCATAAAAGCGCATCAACTCTTAGCGCAAGGAATGTTCTTCCCGTTCCGAAGGCCGTGCCAGCAAGTCTTCAGCAGTATTGGACGTTGCTTGTTGTACGTGTGGCTTTGGCCTAAGGGGAGCAGATAAACAGTCCGATTTCCCCCACACTCGCTTTGCAGCGTGAATTTTAGTCCGGAAGGAAGCAAGGTAGGCACAGGTACACTTTGACGGCTAAAAGTTGTAAATATACAGTTGCAAGAGAGCACACACCTCTTGCAGATCCACACCCTTCGCCCAACACAAAACAACACCCTCCCAAATTCCCACGTCCGCAACTTTTTGTCAGATCACACATGAACCTACATCTGGACGTCTCGATCAAAACCAAGTCGTCCGATGGATGGTGTGTGTGTGATTCTGTCCCGTACCATGTCAAGTACAGGAATCCCCCCATCCATCCCACCCACCGTAATAACAAGTACAGGAATCTCTTTCCACCCACCCCACCCACTAAACAGTTCAACTCTCAAAGGAGACAGGCACAAGAGTCGCTGTACTCACGAAGCCGAGCTGATACCCCTCTACCCACCCACCAATAATAGTTCAACTCTCAACGGAGACAGAAGCCAGGTCGAAGTTAGTTCCTGTTCTCTCAACCCCGGGCTCTTCAGGAATGGAATACGCTCATCAATCCGATTTTTGTCTCCTCCGGGTGAGGGAAGTTTCTCTGCGGATCGGCGGCCAAGTTCCCCGTGTTTCTCTTCTACCAGTTGTCACAAAACGGCCATGGACGGCATCCTTCTATCATCATCACACCAACGACTCTTCCGCCGGAACAGCAGCAGCAGCATCGACGGGATAGATATACGGTCATCGATCTCGATCAAGCCCATACCGCCTCGTCGCGAGAGGCTGGCCAAGTGGAAGACACGGCATGATCGTAGAAATTTGTTGGGGCGCTGTATTTCATGCAACAACGATCAGTCCATCTCTTCCACGTGGGGCTCCGCGTTCGGCTCCTCCTCCTCTGCCGCGCTTGCGCCCCCATCAGCGCCCTGCGGGAAGCCGCCATCTGCGTCACCCCCGCCGTTCGATTCGTACGCCCTGGTGGAGAGTGAAAAACATGATAGCAGCAATGCTGGGTTAACCAAGCCAACGGGCAGAAAATACTGCATCGACGAATACGTTAAGTCAACCGACGCCGATTATTCATGGCCAAAAAGCGAGTGCAAGGGAACGGAGGAAAACAATCGGACGGTGCCAGAGGGAGAGGCCTTCTTGCTCATTTTTCGATAGAAGCGTGGACCGCGCTGATTGGCGACAAAACGAACAGTTAAATTTACCAGTCGCACACTGCGGGACAATGAACACAAGATTTTTTCAGATTCGTGGGTGTGCAGCATGTCCAAAACATTTCACTTTAGAAAACATACAACAGTTCACAGAGAGACTATCCGTTCGAGACACTACGACACCAGCAGTCGAAGGGATTACTTGTCGGGACACAGCTGGACCATCGGTGGCGCACCCGACGAAGCGTCTTCGAGCTGGACAGGCCAAGGGGGCAACGCCAAGCGGCACATCTACGTTACCGTGTGTGCAACCACTAGGTGACATTGTGTTGCCAAGGCTGCCGTCCGCGAAATCAGCCTGCGTCCCCCCTCTGTGGAAAATCGGGCCGGTAGTAACCGGCCCCGGGTTTGGACGGTGTGTGTGTGTTTCTTTTATTAAAACCATCGACCGCGCTAACCGGCTGACCAATAAAAATAAGTCAGTTTTGTAGGAAGGATAAAAAAACCCAAACACGCTTTCTTTTCGAAAAAAAAGTACAATTCCTGGTACATATTTAGCGCGTGTGTATTTTCGGGAGATAAAGCAAAGAACAGGCCCCTCACGACTCGTCGTGAGAACTTGAGGTCTGAGATCTTAAGGCGAGCGACAACAACAGAAGAAAAATACGCTTACAGATGCAAACGGGGTCCTAGAGACACGACCAGAACGAATACCATGAGCCAGCATTGACCAATCCCACAGCGCATAAAAAAAAAAAAACAAGGACTCGTATCTGTGGACCACCACTATTAATAAGAAAAAGAGACACCATCGACCAATGAAACAAATGCACTGCGGATTCTTACCCGTGGAAGAGATTAAGTTGGTGTGTTTTGTAAGAAAAACAACAACATAATGGGGGACGAAGAGAGGAGAAGGCCACAAAAAACACTCACCGAGCGATGATCGGATTTGCCACCCCCTCCACCTCCTTGAGCTTGTCCACCAGCTCTTCCTCCTCCGCACCTGGGTTCGAGTCCAGCCACTGCAGCACGACAGTACAGCGATGCGCGGAAAAAAAAAGAGAAATATTTAGTTCAATTTGGTCGAACACCCGACGGACGCCAAATTCATTTTACGACCCACAATAAATCTTCTGGATTCGACAAGAAAGCTGCAACACATGAAACATGGCCTTGGACGTTCATTGATTTCTCATTTCCGGACGAGATCCGTGTGTTTGATTTTCTCCAAAGTTATGACCCGCAATCAGGGGGAGGCGCACGTGCACACAGAAACAAAAATCTACCAAAATGGCCAATACATCGTTGCGGTCGTCAACTCGCATAGCACTGGTTGAACTGAACGCATATCAGCTCCCGAGGAGAAGCGGGAGGGTGTAAGACAACACTGAAAAGTGGGACCTGCGTGTACACGCATGGATTCCGAGCCTTAAAATCATTCCATCCACGTCCCGTCCGGACTGCATGGCCATTCTCCAACGAGAAGCAAGGACCCGGATTGGCGAACCACAAGCAAGCACTTCTGCTAGCTGTGCATGACTTCGAGTTATTTTCTCGCCAGTTTTGCTCAGTAGGCCATCCAGTTCATGTTTGCCAGGACTTCTCTTTGGCGGTGCAAGCTCCAATTCTTATTGCCAGAAGGGTGCAGCAGCAATCCAGAGTCAGCTTACAGTCGTAGGCCCTCTACAGGACGGGATATGTAAGGCGGGGAAAATTAGCTTGCACACGAGGAAAAATCAAGTTGTTCTACACATTGAATATGGCCAGTGCCCTGTATGGGGCGGGTGAATGGGTCTGGCCCATACCCGCCTTGTAGAGGGCCTACGACTGTATGTTTTCCAGGAGAAGTGAGAAACATGTCGTAGCATATCATTAGTACCGAACGCGCCACCGCTTGAGGGGTGGCCGAAAACCCCTTCTGACGCCCAGTCAATAATAGTCATACTTTATCCAATATACGAAAAAAAGCAACCCTCCCGCCGTTGAGATCTCATGCATTTTACACACATACTGGCATCAGTAGAAAGACACCATGAAGAGGCGTCGTGCGTGCTGGCACGTTCAGGTTTTGCCACTGGAGCTGAAATATCAAAATATGGAAAAGGATGAGGCCGTCTCTCAAACAACACTCCGTAATCTGCGTCAAAACCCAACAATTGTCACAGCCGTGCTCACAGCCACGGACCGAAAACCCTTGAGGGGAGGGTCGTCAGCAGTAGCTAGTGGCATCAGCTACTGCTGTAAACCCGCAGTTCAGGAGATCGGGGTCAGTGGCGGCGAGCACAAGCAGTACAAGACACAGGGTGTCGGTCTAATTTGCGAAAAATTGCGGAGGTTGTAGGCCGCTAATACGACCCTCGACATCACCACCCAAGAAGCAAATTTGAGCGCGCCAACACCCCCCCCCCACCGGCTGCTATAGGGTATCCTCTAGCGATATCAGTAGAACGCATAAAACCAAGTAAAACTGACCTTGTTCGAGCGCCTGCCGTTTCGCGTTTTTCTACTCGAATTTAGACTTGTGTGAATTTGAATCTTGATTTCAGAGGAGGCGTGTGGAGGTAGACCAATGATGCGTATGTTTAGAGCAGCCTCTACTGCCGCGCTGTGCGAGAATCAACGATGTCTGTTTTTCTCGATGCCTTCCGACTTGCCTTGTGGGCCTCGTGTGCATTTTCTGGTGCTCTTGCGGTTTTCTTCAAAATCGGTCACCCTGAAAATTCTTTGTCATCCCCTAACCAAAACCATATATCTCGGCCGAGGCTTGTTTCCTTTTTCGTCTATGGGGTGTCCCCACGGCGACGATACAGGTTTCAGTAGTATTCTTGACTGACTACCTGTTCTAAATGGCAAAGTTCGTAGATTTAGGAGATCAGCAGGCTCACGTTCTTAACCGCTAAGGGGTGGCGCGCGTTCTGTCACACAACGGCCTTGTACAATGAAATTGACATACCTCCAGACCACCTTCAACCGCGCTCTTGAGCTCCTCCAAGTCGTTCTCCGCCATCTTGTCCTTGAGAGTGTCCTCGTAGGACGTCTTCAAGTTGTAGAGGTAGGTCTCCAGGTTGTTCCTGGACTCCACCTTCGCCCTGCACCAAAAAAAAAACAAGGACAAATAAAATTACAAGTGGAAACAGCGTCCTAACATAGAAGTATAATTTAGTAGAAGAATACCGTGTGGGGGAAAACACGGACGCAACAAGCAAAAGGAGTTGAAAAAAACGATACAGGGGGGGTG